GCCTCGCATACCGCTCAAAAACCCGTTCACCGCTCTTCCTCCGAGACGCGTCCAATGTGCGCCCTTAGCCAGCCTCACATGTGCCGCTGGTGGCATTGTTTACCAGCCAGCCTCCGCGGTAACATCCAAGCAAACAATCGGAACATTTCGTATTATTACAGTGTTTTTGGTGATTTTATCTGCAAAATAAGTGACCATGGGCCCCAAGAAAGCTTTAGTGCAACCCTACAGCAATAAGGGTGAGAATTACTATAGTTTATGAAAAAAAGATCATTGATAAGTATAAAAGTGGAGTGCGTGTCTCGAGCTGGCCAGGTTGTATAATAAACCCCAATCAACCTCGCTACTATTGGTGGTACAGCTGCTGCTGCTGCTGTACCACCGTCAGCTGCTGCTGCGCTGTGCACTGTCAGCTGCTGCTGCTGCTGTACCACCGTCAGCTGCTGCTGCACTGTCAGTGCTGCTGCTGCGTACCACCGTCAGCTGCTGCTGTAGTACCATCTGCTGCTGCTGTAGCATCGTCTGCTGCTGCTTTTAGCACTGTCAGCTGCTGCTGCTGCTGTAGACTGTCAGCTGCTGCTGCTGCTGTAGCACTGTCAGCTGCTGCTGCTGCTGTAGCACTGTCAGCTGCTGCTGCTGTGCTGTAGAAACCGTTGTTGGTGTGGCTTATTGAGAATCCCAAGAAACAATTAACCCCAGAGGATTTGCCACCCAGGATAACCCAAAAAAGTCAGTGTCATCGAAGACTGTCTAACTTATTTCCATTGGGGTCCTTAATCTTGTCTCCCAGGATGCAACCCACACAAGTCGACTAACCCCCAGGTGAACAGGGAAAAAATGCCTGGAACTATGCTCATATTGGTGAATTTAAACCCAGCAAAGGTTGGTTTGAGAGATTTAAGAATCGTAGTGGCTTTACACGTGTGATAAGGCCTGTTCTGGAAGAAAATGCCAACAGGACCTACAGTACTCAGGGGGAAAAGGCACCCCAGGACACAGTGTCTCATCATCATTGCTGCATCTTCAATAAAGGTAAGTGTCATTTATTCTTCATTTAGTAACTAGTACATGCACAATATATACTGTGCATGTACTACTCTACTATTGTGCATGTATCCTTCTCTTTGTGTGTAGGAAAATGTATATTTCATGTGGTAAAAATTTTTTTTTCATACTTTTGGGTGTCTTGCATGGATTAATTTGATTTCCATTATTTCTTATGGGGAAAATTCATTCGCATACCGATCATTTCGCATAACAATGAGCTCTCTTGCACGGATTAATTTGATTTCCATTATTTCTTATGGGGAAAATTCATTCGCATACCGATCATTTCACATAACAATGAGCTCTCTTGCACGGATTAAAGTCGCTATGCGGGGGTCCACTGTAATAATAATAATATTTATATTTACTACACGTACATGTACAAGGTATACAGGCCTAGCTGACATCAGTAAGTAAGTTTATTCAGGTATACACAAATACAGTTATATAGAATTATCATACATAGCAGCATATGTGTAGAGAACCTGGGATAACCCAAAAAAGTCAGAGTGACTTATTTCCATTGGGGTCCTTCTACCTTATTATTATAATATAAATGTTATAATATTTTCTTATTATTCTATAATGAAGATAACATCTTATTATCATACTTAAAAGACTATCTACTAAATGAGGGCCATTAAGACTATCTACAATACGAGGGTCACTATCTACAATACGAGTGACATACTACTGTATAGAAAGGCACTTGTTATGCTGAGTATTTCAAGAAAATTAGGTCAGTGTCCCAGGATAACACCCACACTAGTCGACTAACACCCAGGTACCCATTTACTGATGGGTAAACATAGACAACAGGTGTAAAGAAACACGCCTAATGTTTCTACATTGGCTGGGAATTGAATATTTACCAAAAATCATATATGGCTAATCCAAGCCAGGTACTAAAAATAAGCCACGTTGACTTTTTTGGGGTTATCCTAGGTTCTCTACACATATGCTGCTATGTGTGATAATCTATAGAGAAAATAACTTTTTTGTTAGGCCTGGGGACAGTTGGTCCCAAGGATGAAGGGGTACTTGTACCTCCTCCATGGGAGACTTAGGTCTCGAGACACTTCCCAGATAGGGAGCCAAGGCCGGGTCACCACTACTTGGAAAAGACCCGGGCCGGGAGAATACCGGTGAATAAAAAAAAAACTTTTTTGTTTCATGTTTATGGTGGAGTATGAGTGTATATCATAGTTAGCCCTGTGCTATACTCCGTTTTCTCTAATATAAGCCACCAAGACAAGGATAGGAGAATGGTATTTGTTTACCATATCCTCTTCATAACTCTGTCGAACTGCTTGGTGTTATGCCAATTATTCATTCTGGAGTATTTAACATGTTTTATGTTATTTATATTGTTTATTATGTCATATTAGATCAATTGTGATAGGCAAATAAGCTGTAGTGTTGATATTAGCGTAATAATAGAGCATATTCTCCTGCTTCATGAGACTGAGTTCATGACAACCGACAGTGGCTTCAAAGCCACCTTATCTTTAATGGATAATGTACTGTGTAGGTGATTTACATAATGAGAAGCATTTCTTTTATTCATTGGAACCATGGGTAGGGCTAAAAGTAAGCAGGTTAAAACAATAAATGGAGAAAAAGAAATTGGAATAACTTATACAGCAAGTAGCACCACCAAACAGTACCAGCAGGTTGGTGTGATGACCCTGGAAATTTGAAATTATGCTAGCCAAAATTAGTTACGAATAACTGAAGGAACCGAATACGTAACTGATTGCCGGATTTGTGATGACGGACCTGTAGTAGTAGTAGTTAGTAGAAGTAATACAATATGTTGAACAATTAACTTGCACAAGAGTAAACGATATAAAGGCTATTACTTGGGAAACCTAAAAATTTGGTTAGACAAATATTTCTATTGGAGGCTGGATAGAGAAGGCCTGTTTCAATGTTCATTCTCTGTTATGTGCTTGTGTAGTATTAACAGGAGAGACTATGTGATGGCAGGATTTACTGTTTTCAAGAGGATTCTTGCTAAGACTTCAGAGATGGTGAAGCTGCCTTCGTTTTGTTTAATTGTATTTGAAACAGCTATTAGTGAAGATTCAAGACACTTGCGTCTGCGGAAATTAGTTTCTTTGATCACTAGCTGGGCTTCCCTGAACTTCATGAGATGATTGGTGGAATTTTGGTGTTGTACACAGGCAATGTTCAAGTTGAACAATGGCTGTGTACAACACCGAAATTCCACCAATCATCTCATGAAGTTCAGGGAAGCCCAGCTAGTGATCAAAGAAACTAATTTCCACAGGCGCAAGTGCCTTGAATCTTCACTAATACAATTAAACAAAACAAAGGCAGCTTCATCATCTCTGAAGTCTTAGCAAGAATCCTCCTGAAAACAGTAAATCCTGCCATCACATAGTCTCTCCTGTTAATACTACACAAAGCACATTACAGAGAATGAACATTGAAACAGGCCTTCTCTATCCAGCCTCCAATAGAAATATTTGTCTAACCAAATTTTTATGTTTCCCAAGTAATAGCCTTTATATCGTTTACTCTTGTGCAAGTTAATTGTTCTACATATTGCATTACTTCTACTACTACTACTACTACTACTACCACTAGTATTGCACCTCACTCTGAGCCTATATATACCCTCTGTGTCCATGTACTGTTTGTAACGGCTTGACAAAGCTCCTGGAGAGCGAAACATTGCCACAATAAAATGTCACATTAGTTGCACTTGTGTCTTTTTACTTTACAACAGATGGGTCAATGAAAGATGAGGTGAATCATAGAACTGACAAGGGGAAAATGGTGAGTGGTGCACTGAGGAGTCTGTGGAGACAAAGAACTTTATCTATGGAAGCAAATAGGGGAATGTATGAGAGTATAGTTATACCAATGCTCTTATGTGGGTGCGAAGCATGGGTGGTGAATACTGCAACAAGGAAAAGGCTAGAGGCAGGGGTAATGTCGTGCCTGAGGGCAATGTGTGGTGTGACTATAATAATGCAAAGAATTCATAGTTTGGGCTGAGGGGTTGTTGAGGTGGTTCGGACATGTAGAGGATGGAACAAAATAGAATGACTTCAGAAGTGTATAAATATGTAGTGGAGGGAAGGCAGGGTAGAGTTCTGCCTAGGAAAGGTTGGAGGTAGGGGGTAAAGTAGGTTTTCTGTGTGAGGGGCTTGGATTTCCAGCAAGCATGTGTGAGTGTGTTAGATAGGAGCGAATACAGACATATGGTTTTTAGGACTTGATGTGCTGTTGGAGTGTGAACAGGGTAATATTTATGAAGGGATTCGGGGAAACCAGCAGGCCGGACTTGAGTCCTGGAGATGGGAAGTACAGTGCCTGCACTCTGAAGGAAGGAGGGGTGTTAATGTTGCAGTTTTATAACTGTAGTGTAAGTGCACCTCTGGCAAGACAGTGATGGAGTGGATGATGATGAAGTTTTTCTTTTTTGGGCCACCCTGCCTTGGTGGGAAAAATATGATGTGTTAATAAAAAAAATTAAAAAATAATTATGCAGCAAGCAGTGCCACCAAACAGTAGCTGCAAGTTGGTGTAGTGATACCAGAAATTTGAAATTATGCTAGCCGAAATTAGTGCCAGATTACTGATAGAACTGGATTACTGAGTGCAGGATTAGTGGTGGCCAACCTGTAATAACATGAGCTTTTATGGGGAAGTATAAGTCACTAACAAAATGTTTCTTTGCTCGCTATCTAGGTCAATGGGCAGAACTTCGCTGTAATAGCTATAGTAAATGAGTAATAAAAATTCACATGTACATGAAGTACAAAATAATTATGTAAACATTTTATAAGGTCAGAAGCCATATAATAAGTCACTTTATCAACATAAACTAAATTTGATTTTTAAATGAAGTTATAGAATGATCGATTCTATAAAGTTGTAAGTGAAAGCATATACGAGATGAGTGAGATATTTACTATAAAATCAGTGTTTCATGCCAATATTGAACTTACTTGCACTTTGAACAGATGTAAAAAATGGTTTGTCCTTCATCTGCTGATCTTAACTGCATTGTAGTGTAGTACATGCCGAGGTTACCACACTTACTACATTCTCGATCATTATCCATCTGACCCAGCTCACTCCCTTTATTAAGATCCATCTTCAGTGCTAAGTAAGCTCCTCTGGGTGTTATATCCATAGAGTACTCTGTTACTCGACCAATTAAATCTAAAAGAGAAAAAAATTTACAAGTGTATCAGAATGTTAGATCATGAAAAACAACAATAAGACATAACACTCATGAAGAAAGACAAACATGCTAGCATTAATTAGAGGAATACCCATTTAAAGAAAATTCCAAAGACAAATACCCAATCAAAGGGAATTCCTAAGAGCACTATACCCATTTAAAGGGAATTCCTAAGAGCACTATACCCATTTAAAGGGAATTCCTAAGAGCACTATACCCATTTAAAGGGAATTCCTAAGAGCACTATACCCATTTAAAGGGAATTCCTAAGAGCACTATACCCATTAAAAGGGAGTTCCTAAGAAGGATAACTGTTCAAAGGGAATGCCAAGGAAGGATAACTGTTGAAAGGAAATTCCAAAGAAGGATAACTGTTCAAAGAAAATTCCAAAGAAGGATAACTGTTCAAAGGTAATTCCAAAGAAGGATAACTGTTCAAAGAAAATTCCAAAGAAGGATAACTGTTCAAAGAAAATTCCAAAGGATGACAACTGTTCAAAGGTAATTCCTAAGAGGAACAAAGTAGTAAAGAAAACACTCTGAACATACATTTTTTATTACCTTTCACCAGTAAATGAAAATTGATAGAAGTGTCAATTAATTTAAAACATGTAAATGTAGTGGGAAGAACAGTAAATGGAGGGTGCAAGAAATCCGAGTTGACGAGAGTGAAACCTTGAAGGGATGAGAGAACTCCTAAATGCAGTGCAGTGAGAAGACAGCCTAGAAGTAAAGTCAGACAATGCAATAATAGAATACCTAACTGGCATGCTGGGAGGTAGAGAACTTCATAACAAGAAAAAGTGGACACAGCAAAAACAAAGAGCCCTTGGTTCAACTAGAGACACAGAGAGGAAAAAATAATGGGAAAAACTACAGAAAGTGATAGACAGATGAGAACAGAGAAGCAGATCAGCTAAAAACAAACAAGTTAGAGGAAGATGAAAGGCTGAATGACAATTCGATAACGATATAGCAGCAAAGGCCAAGTCTGAACCAAAACTGGGTTACAGCCACATCAGAGGAAAGTCGGCAGTAAAAGACCAGGTAATTCAATTGAAGGAGGAAGAAAACTCATAAAAAAATGACAAAGTCTGTAAAGTATTTATCAGCCCCTTAACCCTTTGACTGTCGCAAGCCCCTTTCTGAAACTGTCATTCTATGTTGAAAAATTTTTGGGAAAATTTTTTTTTCTTTCAAATGAAACGATAGAGAATTTTTTCCCGATGGTAATGACACCAAAAGTATGAAATTTGGTCAAAAACTAACAGAATTACACACCCGCGAAGCTAGCGGTCTAGGCCATATATACACATCGGCGATTTTGCCAACTTTGAACCCTATTTTTGGCCAATTCCGTTGTTCCAGTTGACCAAACTCATACCTATTTCTTTAGAACTCAAATTTTTCTATCAATTGAGTACAAGAAACTGCCAATCTACCGATTTGAACTACCCAATAATATTAGTGGTCAGAAATTGGCAATTTGGCCAATTTCATGTAAATTAAAAAAGATGCCAATTTCAAAATAGGGTCCAGAACAAACAATGTTGACATTCTAGGCACTAAAATAACATATTCTCTGCTCATTAGTCACATCTCTAAGCCCCTCTTATATTACTAATAGTAGTAGGTTGGTAGACAGCAACCACCCAGGGAAGTACTACCGTCCTGCCAGATGACTGTGAAACAAAAACCTGTAACTGTTTTGCATGATGGTAGGATTGCTGGTTTCTTTTTCTGTCTCATAAACACGCTAAGATAACAGGGATATCTTGCTACTCCTACTTACACTTTGGTCACACTTCACAGACACGCACATGCATATATATATATACATACATCTAGGTTTTTCTCCTTTTTCTAAATAGCTCTTGTTCTTTTTTATTTCTTCTATTGTCCATGGGGAAGTGGAAAAGAATCTTTCCCGTAAGCCATGCGTGTCGTTTTGAGGCGACTAAAATGCCGGAGCAATGGGCTAGTAACCCCTTCTCCTGTATACAATTACTAAAAAAGAGAAGAAGAAAAACTTTATAAAACTGGGTTGCTTAATGTGCGTGGATGTAGTGCGGATGACAAAAAACAGATGATTGCTGATGTTATGAATGAAAAGAAGTTGGATGTCCTGGCCCTAAGCGAAACAAAGCTGAAGGGGGTAGGAGAGTTTCAGTGGGGGGAAATAAATGGGATTAAATCTGGAGTATCTGAGAGAGTTAGAGCAAAGGAAGGGGTAGCAGTAATGTTAAATGATCAGTTATGGAAGGAGAAAAGAGAATATGAATGTGTAAATTCAAGAATTATGTGGATTAAAGTAAAGGTTGGATGCGAGAAGTGGGTCATAATAAGCGTGTATGCACCTGGAGAAGAGAGGAATGCAGAGGAGAGAGAGAGATTTGGGAGATGTTAAGTGAATGTATAGGAGCCTTTGAACCAAGTGAGAGAGTAATTGTGGTAGGGGACTTGAATGCTAAAGTAGGAAAACTTTTAGAGAGGGTGTGGTAGGTAAGTTTGGGGTGCCAGGTGTAAAATGATAATGGGAGCCCTTTGATTGAACTTTGTATAGAAAGGGGTTTAGTTATAGTAATACATATTTTAAGAAAAAGAGGATAAATAAGTATACACGATATGATGTAGGGCGAAATGACAGTAGTTTGTTGGATTATGTATTGGTAGATAAAAGACTGTTGAGTAGACTTCAGGATGTACATGTTTATAGAGGGGCCACAGATATATCAGATCACTTTCTAGTTGTAGCTACACTGAGAGTAAAAGGTAGATGGGATACAAGGAGAATAGAAGCATCAGGGAAGAGAGAGGTGAAGGTTTATAAACTAAAAGAGGAGGCAGTTAGGTAAGATATAAACAGCTATTGGAGGATAGATGGGCTAATGAGAGCATAGCAATGGGTCGAAGAGGTATGGGGTAGGTTTAAAAATGTAGTGTTAGAGTGTTCATGCAGAAGTTTTGTGGTTACAGGAAAGTGGGTGCAGGAGGGAAGAGGAGCGATTGGTGGAATGATGATGTAAAGAGAGTAGTAAGGGAGAAAAAGTTAGCATATAGAAGTTTTTACAAAGTAGAAGTGATGCAAGGAGGGAAGAGTATATGGAGAAAAAGAGAGAAGTTAAGAGAGTGGTGAAGCAATGTAAAAAGAGAGCAAATGAGAGAGTGGGTGAGATGTTATCAACAAATTTTGTTGAAAATAAGAAAAAGTTTTGGAGTGAGATTAACAAGTTAAGAAAGCCTAGAGAACAAATGGATTTGTCAGTTTAAAAAATAGGAGAGGAGAGTTATTAAATGGAGAGGTAGAGGTATTGGGAAGATGGAAGGAATATTTTGAGGAATTGTTAAATGTTGATGAAGATAGGGAAGCTGTGATTTCTTTGTATAGGGCAAGGAGGAATAACATCTTGTAGGAGTGAGGAAGAGCCAGTTGTGAGTGTGGGGAAGTTCGTGAGGCAGTAGGTAAAATGAAAGGGGGTAAGGCAGCCGGGATTGATGGGATAAAGATAGAAATGTTAAAAGCAGGTGGGGATATAGTTTTGGAGTGGTTGGTGCAATTTTTTAATAAATGTATGGAAGAGGGTAAGGTACCTAGGGATTGGCAGAGAGCATGCATAGTTCCTTTGTATAAAGGCAAAGGGGATAAAAGAGAGTGCAAAAATTATAGGGGGATAAGTCTGTTGAGTGTACCTGGTAAAGTGTATGGTAGAGTTATAATTGAAAGAATTAAGAGTAAGACGGAGAATAGGATAGCAGATGAACAAGGAGGCTTTAGGAAAGGTAGGGGGTGTGTGGACCAGGTGTTTACAGTGAAACATATAAGTGAACAGTATTTAGATAAGGCTAAAGAGGTCTTTGTGGCATTTATGGATTGGAAAAGGCGTATGACAGGGTGGATAGGGGGGCAATGTGGCAGATGTTGCAAGTGTATGGTGTAGGAGGTAGGTTACTGAAAGCAGTGAAGAGTTTTTACGAGGATAGTGAGGCTCAAGTTAGAGTATGTAGGAAAGAGGGAAATTTTTTCCCAGTAAAAGTAGGCCTTAGACAAGGATGTGTGATGTCACCGTGGTTGTTTAATATATTTATAGATGGGGTTGTAAGAGAAGTAAATTGCGAGGGTCTTGGCAAGAGGCGTGGAGTTAAAAGATAAGAATCACACACAAAGTGGGAGTTGTCACAGCTGCTCTTTGCCGATGACACTGTGCTCTTGGGAGATTCTGAAGAGAAGTTGCAGAGATTGGTGGATGAATTTGGTAGGTGTGCAAAAGAAGAAAATTAAAGGTGAATACAGGAAAGAGTAAGGTTATGAGGATAACAAAAAGATTAGGTGATGAAAGATTGAATATCAGATTGGAGGGAGAGAGTATGGAGGAGGTGAAAAGTATTCAGATATTTGGGAGTGGACGTGTCAGCGGATGGGTCTATGAAAGATGAGGTGAATCATAGAATTGATGAGGAAAAAGAGTGAGTGGTGCACTTAGGAGTCTGTGGAGACAAAGAACTTTGTCCTTGGAGGCAAAGAGGGGAATGTATGAGAGTATAGTTTTACCAACGCTTTATATGGGTGTGAAGCGTGGGGGATGAATGTTGCAGCGAGGAGAAGGCTGGAGGGAGTGGAGAGTCATGTCTGAGGGCAATGTGTGGTGTGAATATAATGCAGAGAATTCGTAGTTTGGAAGTTAGGAGGAGGTGCGGGATTACCAAAACTGTTGTCCAGAGGGCTGAGGAAGGGTTGTTGAGGTGGTTCGGACATGTAGAGAGAATGGAGCGAAACAGAATGACTTCAAGAGTGTATCAGTCTGTAGTGGAAGGAAGGCGGGGTAGGGGTCGGCCTAGGAAGGGTTGGAGGGAGGGGGTAAAGGAGGTTTTGTGTGCGAGGGGCTTGGACTTCCAGCAGGCATGCGTGAGCGTGTTTGATAGGAGTGAATGGAGACAAATGGTTTTTAATACTTGACGTGCTGTTGGAGTGTGAGCAAAG